AGGTAAGCTTAGCCTATTGGCTTTTGCATCTCACTGTAATTATACTCTGTTCATTGCCCTAGTTTCGCTTTTACGCAGCCGTTCTGCTTTCTCAGTTTAATTAGAACTTTCGTGGGTCAGGCCTTTGCGGTGAGCCATACCTGCCTATGCAGTACTGTGCTATCTGGTGATGCCCTTAATAAGAAAATTATTAACCTTACAGTAAGTGTTATTTTCTAAAGACTAAATGTTTACTTGTAAATAAATTCGGAGGTCGATGTAGGTATCTGGATTTAACAAGGTCGATGGTTGTCACGTACCAGTATCATATAAAAGCGTATGATTACACAAACCGCAGGATTTCTGAGTAGAAATTGTGTCAAGGTTGTCTTGTTTATTGAGAATAGTGTAATACAGTTGCCTCCCTTTCGGATTAATTAGACGTGAGGGTCCTAGAGTAACAAAAAAGCCTTTGAATTTGCTTTTTGTAATTTTAAAACGAGGTGGGCAGTATATAGCCGTAAGATTTAAGTATCTTCCGCGATTTTTTGATGATATTGTTGTAGCTGGTAACTGTGCTGTAGCATGAGATTCTAAAGCATGGTGGTTTAATCAGAGAACTTAAAACAATGAGAAGGCCCAAATCGAGTTCTGTATGATGCTTGATTGAACGGCTAACAGAGCTGAAAAATACCGAGTTAGGAATTTATCATTTTGTTTCATATTCGGTACTATTTAGCAGAATCATGTAAAAAACAGTTCGGCAACAGAAAATAACAATCAGGAAACTTTGCATGTGAGGGTAGGACATAGAAATATGATATTTACTCGTATTCATATTATACATACATGGCAAATATAAATCACGAAGTTTTTTTTCTCTTTGTTGTATGACTTCTTTAAAGAATTCTACCAACACATTATACTATATTTAAAACTAATACAATCAGTTTTTGTTAGAATAGGGGCACAAAAAAATTTACGAAAATATGAAATAAATATGAATGTATGGGCAAAGAATGTCAATGAATAGAGAAGGCGCAAATGTTGGCTGGCTAAAATATAAATTATTAAAAGGGAACATCGAAAAAGCGCAAGTTCGTAATTAAAAATACACCACGTCAAAAAGGAACCTTCCCCTCTTTCTAAGCAAACTCAATAAACTACACCACCAAGCAAATTTTCACCACCTTAAAAGGGAACGGCAAATGTATGCATGCGCAGATGTTCCTTAGCATGCGTGTTAAGGAAAATTAGAATAACAAAAATCAAAAAAAAAATAATAATAATAGATTTTGAAAAACCTTTATGTAATGAGGGAAAAATTAAAATAAATTGACTAAAAAAGATTTATAAAAATTAAAAAATAAATAAAACATATGTGATAGCATTTGAACTCAGGCAAAATTTTATGCTGCAATAAGAAATCGTGCTTAGCACCACAGATAATATCTGAAAAGAAGAGTCTAATGTGTAAACATTATAATTTTTTACTTGTTTCAAATGACTAATTTGTATGTTAAATTCTTGAAATTGCCTTTCCTTCATTCACATGTAGAAATATATTTTGCATATATAATATGTACATATGTATGTATGTCCATCAATATGAGTTTTGTAAAAAATCAAACATTCGCGCAAGTGCCAAAAAACGCAGGCGCGTAAGCTACAAAACGAACTTCGACCGTTTATAACTCTGCACTGCACTTTTTTCTGTGCGCCTGGTCAACCACATTTGGTTTTCATATGAATTCCTACCGCAAATGCGCGAAAATGAAGTTTAAGTAAAATGAATGCAATTGAATTTTGAAGGGTTTCAGTAAAATTGAAGAATCAGCAAAATTTCTATTTTACAATTGATCCTACTATTCCCCTCGCATTTGATGTTTCCCACAAGCTGCTTCCTCACATCGATACTAAAAATCACAAATTGAAGAATCTGTCTGATATTATTTTCAGAAAGGACTTATTAGCGGCTTGAAATATTTATTTCATATAATTCATTATATTATATAAGACATTATATTATAAAATTTATATAAAATTGCCATTTATACGAAATCTTTTATTACTTCTATGGGTTCTAAATACAATCCATGTAGTGCTTTTATATGTTGACTTATTATCATTATTTTATGATTTTTCGATATAACTCATTTTATCTAAATACGACGTTATGAAGATTGTCCATACTTTTAGAAACAAATTTTGTCAACTCCGTGACGATGCCCAAAATTCGGCGTCAATATGTATGCGAGCTCATATGTATGTATATACAATTGAATGTTTGTCCCCAAATGTGTCATTTGCTTTTTTTCAACAACACAATGTACGCGCGAGCACGTCGTTACTTCCATGGCGTCCCACCATGCACAGAGACGTTTCAACTGAAGATTCATATTCTGTTATTATGTTGCCTAATTTGTATTACCGATGCATAATGACTTATATAATAATAATACACGTAAAAATATATTATATATACAGATAAATTCAAACATATAATCGTTTGTAAAATAAATTCGATTTAAAAAATATATCTGAAATAATTATGTGGCAGTTTGCCCCCTGACCACTCTTTGCCAACAATAGTTCAACTTGCTTCGGGCAAAAAGCAAAAAGTGTATACAAAAGTCATTGTTTGTGCGGGGCAAGAAGAAGCAAGCATCAGCGTACGTGTATTTAAGAATGAATATGTGATTGTCACATTTGTGTAAATACGCATAAATAAGGGAATAATTCAGTAAACCTAAACATATAAAGATATTTTTCTGAAATATTTGAATTATCTCAGGAGGTAAAATATGATTTTAAGGTAATTGAATTGAGATTCCAATTAATAAAATATAAAAAATTAAATAAAATTTAAGTTTCGTGAGTTTCAGGATTCGAACGTCAATACTCGTATTCTGATTGACATTACTCCTTCACGCTTATGACCTAATCCACCAGAAAAGTGGAAAGCGGCCGCTTAGCCTCTGTTTTATTGTTATCCTTTGTCTATTCGATATTGTTTCTGCAACGCATAAAAATGTGTTGAAGAATTTGTTTATTGCAAATGTAAATGTCAGCATGCGCATAATTCATTTAAGAAACATTCTTTGTGTTCCACGGATGATCTCCCCGACTGAAATTTTACAAATGTTCGATGTCGAACCTGCTTCTTCTCATTGTTGTATGTTCTCTGTAAAACAATAGTTGCGTGGGAGAGATATAAGATAGGAGTAGGTTAGGTTTATCAGATTAAAGTTCTAAAGACTCCGGCTTTCGATGCTTTTTCATACTATACAAAAAAAAACATACACGAAGACACCACACCTATCAAAAAGGATGGTCCCCGCAGCAGACAATTCTCATTCGATTCGACCAATGTTTTTACTTCGATCAGACACCGAGCCACGCGTTTTATGTTATTACTCTAGTCGAAAGTCAGAAGACGACTTCGCGATTCGACAGACACGATTCGCTACGGACACCAAGAATCATCCTCCATATATGTAAATGTATATTTGTATTTTTTCGAATTTTATTCTATAAAGCTTATAATAACAAGTACAAGATGTAACCAAACATTTTATACTCTCGCAAAGTCAAATGGTATACTCGTTTGAGATTTCTTTGTGGATCGACTGACATTTTCGGTAGAAGGTCAACTATAGGCACTGGGGTCCACATATTCAGTACTTAGGGGCTTGAACAACAGTTTTGGTTCGATTTAGACAATTTTTGGTCACAAGGTGACATACTTTAAACGTATTATTCACGCAAAGTTTTACCCCGATATAATCATTCTTGCTTGATTTGCATACTGGAAAGTGAAACAATCAGATGGAATTGAAACAATTTTCACACTATAACATAGAAATATAAATAGAACATTATGCACCGAATTTGATTGAAATCGGTTAAGCAGATCCCAAGATATGGATTTTCACCTATAAGTGGGCGGTGCCATGCCCACTGACTAATTTTGAACGCGGTTCCTATAAAGTCATCTCATACCATCGCAGAGATAAAATTTAATGTCTCTGGCGTTTTTAGTGCTTGGTTTATCGCGATTTGAGTATATTTTAACAGTACCGTTATATGGGGAGTGGGCGGGCGTATCACCCGATTTCACCCATTTTCACACCGTCAATAGAGGTGCTAAAAACATTTGCCACCAGTGAATTTTGTTATTATAGCTTCAGCGGTTTATTAGATACGCACATTAAACTTATTAGCAACGGGACCACGCCCACTTTTTAAAAAAAATTTTAACTGCAAATGCCCCCCCTAATGTGATCCTTTGTACCAAATAACAGTCTTGTATCTTATTGCGGAGCTTAGTTATGGCAATTTTTTTGATTTTGATTAATGGCGTTTTGTGGGCGTGGCAGTGGTCCGATTACGCCTATCTGCAATACCAACCGTCTTACGGTACCAAGAAATATGTGTACCAAGTTTCATGAAGATATCTCAATTTTTACTCAAGTTACAGCTTGCACGGACGGACGGACAGACAGTCACCCGGTTTTCAACTCGTCTCTTCTTTTTTTCATTTTTTTTTATAATAAAACCAAGAATTTAAACAAAAAGCCGAGCTAAAGACACATATTTTAAGACTGGAAGTGTTAGAAAGCGAGAAAAAATTTAACACCGGAGCCACACAACAACTAAACTAAGAATTGCATCAACATAAGTAGTTCTCGAGTGAGCAAACGTGAGCCAGACAGCATTGACTTCAACTTGTTTTCTGCATTCAATTTGCATGTTTATCTTAAAAAATAATGTAATATAATAAATATATTTTGCTGTAAGCTATATTGTTGAGAGCCGTTAAAGACTGTTATAGACTCAACAATGCAGATAGTAAAATATCAAAAAAAAAAACCTAATAAAAAATTTTTACACAATCGTATTTTCATATAAATAGATATGTTATGTACATACATATATGCATTTAATAACAAAATCTTCAGATTTTTTTATATCACTTATATACTTGTATTAATTTAAATCGTTATTTTCTTTAATTTAAGCTTACCGATTTACGGCCATATCGATCACTTAATTGAGTCCAAAATGAAGGGCTAATGATCATTCCCAAAAATACAATGGTTGTCATAAATGCTTTTTGGTAAGTAGATATGTTCCATTCGCATTGCGTTGTTGGTCCAATAATACTAAGTATTGTCATTTCCATAGAGTCGGCCATCCAACAAAGTCCAACAAAAAGTGATAGTTTAACGTGAAACCATCCAAATCCTAAGAGATTTACTGCCTGTTGAACGGTGTACGTATCTAATAAAATTGAAATGTATAATATGACATCATATGCTCTCAATATTAAATTAGACCCAAACTAATACGTTTATACTGTGCATGCAAACCGCATCGATAAATTTGTTGGTTAGATTAGTGCAATATTTTTTATGTTCGCGTGAAGTTTGATATCCAGATGTTAATTAATATGTGTTTGACAACTGTTTGTTTACGACGCAAAAGGTCTGTCCGGCAATTTCTACCATTGAAAAAAAATTTAACAAGGAGTTTTCTTTGAAATTTTATGTTTTGGAGAGTCGACTTTATCACGAACACAACTACTTAAAATCATCAAATAAATTTCTCATGGGAATCGCCCATCTACCTCTGTTAATGACGATAACATCAAGAAAGTTAAGAAACAATGATTCAAAATCGAAGCAGAGAAAAAGCAGAGGATCTCTACATCTCTTAAGGATCGTCTGAAATAATTTGGTTAATGTTTTGGGTATAAGTTGTGCTAATGATTCCCTCGTATCAAAATACCTGAATGCGCCGTTACATTCTAAATAGCATGATTGAATTTTGGACCAAACACGAAACGAAAATCATCGTTCAACCACCATTCGCCATTCGCTCCCTGTGACTTTATCTATTTTGAAACTGAAAAATCCGCTTAGAGGAACGTGCTACTAGTCCACTGATCCAATATATTGTGGCGAACAGGAGTACCAGAACAAATCAGAATTGACATAAACTGCCAGAAGCAACTAGACAGCGAATTCGTAGTTGCCAGAATGTTCCAGTAGAGAACTTTTGTTAAAAATTTACTATATAAGGGGTGCCGGATTGTGCAGCAGACACAGTTCTAATTAGAGTGTTGTAGTGTAAAGAGCAATTAAGCTATAAGCAGTAAGTTGTAAGTTCGAAAGCGAGCAATAAGTGTTAAGTTGTTTGAACTGGAAATAAAGATAAGTGTATAGCATTAAATTGGGACTTTAATTTAACAATCCAATAGGATCGAGCTCAAGAGTGAGTTATATTAGACGATTTATCGAGAAATCCGTTACATTTGGTGTCAGAAGTGGGATTGTCAAATAAATTGCCAAGGAGATAATTATTTGAAAATGGTAAAGTTTAACGATCTGAAGATTCCACAACTGAAAAAGGAGCTGGAGCAACTTTGTTTGGCGACAAATTGATTAAAAACTGAATTACAATTACGGTTGAGAGAGGCCATGGAGGCTGAAAACATTAATGCTGAGGAATATGTCTTTCACATGGAATTAGAGAAAGAGACAACAAAGATAGAAGAAAAGGAAGAGGCTCAATGCTCATCAAAGATTGTGGACATAAACGTGATTTTTGCTGCAATATCGCAGATGGGGAAAGAGATGTCAACGCAAATGTCGACACAATTTAAAGAGCAGGATGCACGTATAACCCAACAAATAGCAGAGGTGTCATCACAAATGTTGACACAACAATCCCAATTGCACTCGTCAGCGCAAGATGCCCGTATATTAGCACAGGTGACCTCACAAATAGCAGAAGCGTCCTCACAGATTTTGGAAGAGCGGGATAAAATTAAAACTGAAATGGATGAATTAAAAGATCGTCTCCGCGAGATACAATTAAATCGGCCAATTGTGTCAACAGCTTGTACCAAGGTAAAACCTCCATGCTTTGATGGCACTGTTTCGTTCCACGTTTTTAAGCTTCAATTCGAAAAGACGGCATCTTCAAATAATTGGAACGCTGAAGATAAAGTAGCTGCATTGTTCCTTCCATTAAAAGGATCTGCAGCGAAGATCGAATTTCGACCACTGGCGATCCTAGTAAAAATAAATTAATGAAACGTCAAAAAGCTCTTCAATGAGCATAAGTGATTTGAATGTGCGCAATGTAATTGTAATTATGCGAATTTTTATCCATTAGCTCGAAGAAAGGGCGGGATTTTGTGGATCCGAAAAAAGTAAAACCTCGTCACGAGCGACAAATTGAATGGATGTGCATTACTGATCGCTTTTAACATGCTGGAACAATCACCAAAACTATTCCTTAAAATAAGGCTCGTAACAAATATATTTCTATACCATTTATAATTAAAGTCATATTGAAACTTCAGATATCATATGTATACCACAGATACAGTGATTTTGTTGCCCTAGATATAAAATCGGTTTTGGACATATCTGTGCTCACAATTCGATATTATTAAATCTCTATCATTATTATACATACAAAAAAATCTAAAACATGTAACAAGATAACAGATATATTTAATGTCAGTTTTGTTTTGAACAAAACGGATATATCGAAGTATACAGAGAGACAGATATCGAAAAGCTATGTTAATAAACTGTATTTTACCACTTTTAAATCTTGGTGGACTCGAACTCCTTGTTGCTCACTACAATTTTATAATTATCCGAAAATGTATCTAGATGATTGCGGAGATAGCCAGATAGGATGGACTTTTAAGTCCAGCATATTTGCACAATTTTTTTATAGTTTGGTGTTTAACTTTTCAAAGAGACTTTTTCCAGCCGTCATAAATTAGATAAAATCTGTATTTTTCATTCTTTGATATTTGATTCCAAGCTTCGGAAATTTTGAACAAATGTGGTTAAAACACTATCCATCTACGACCACCACTTCAACAAATTTCTTCATCACATAGATTTTGAGGAAATAATGACAGCAGACTGTACTGATTTCTGAGAATTTGGCGATGTTGGGTCACCGATTGAGAACCAATGCATTATACGGTCATATGTTCGAATACACTTTTTGCTATTTCTTGTTCTCTACATATTTATTTGCCTAAAATATTCAAGGGCAAGCACTAGAAGTCATTCACCTCAATGCAGTTAATAATTGTATCTGCATTGTGTACATACTTACATATTTATTGCTTGCTTGCGCTTGCTTTGTATTGTACATTTATGCTACCGCTATGTTTTCGTCCACGCAATTACATGAATATTTGTTTGTGCACATTAGCTAGTCCCATTTAACATGTACTAAGCCCCCTCTTGCAATGCTGCGTTCCCATTCTTTTATATTTCTCTTTTTGTCAATAACTACATTATATATTGTACGAAGGAGCAATAGAGTAAATAAAGTATGTACTTGGGTTATTCTCCTTTTATGGACTGTTAAATTTATATAACTAACATACTTATGTATATATGCACTAATAGAAAACGAAACTATGTACTTAGTGGAAATTATGTATTTAACGGTATTGAAATATTGCTTAGAATATTATTTAAGGAGAAGAGTTTTGCAAATAAAGTTAATCTAATAGCTGACCACACATGGCATCATTACTCGGCCCTTTGTATTTTATCGCTGCTACAACTTCGCTTAAACTTTTCGCTTTTTCGATATTTGCGCAGTTACAAAAAAAAGCTTTGTAGCCCTACAGGCAATAACATTGTTTCTGAGAGCATGCGAATTGCTTTTGAAACGAAAGCAAGATTTTAGTTGAGTAAAACAGGACATTTTATAAACTGGAAGTCTACATATCTCCACGTTTGATTTTTATTAAAACAATAAAACATTCAGCATAATTGTTAGCATATTTTAGGTAATAAACCTACACATATATTTAGTTAGTTGAGATAGTTTTAAAAATTGTATATAAAGCCGTCAAAAATTAAATAAAAACCAGAATGAAATATTTCTCAGCTTAATGAAGGTCTTTTCTGTTCCCCACCAGCGGTAAGACATTTAAGAATCTTTACTGAGTTTATTCAATAGTCGATACACTTCTCAAACTCGATTTTTAGGATAGCCTTTCAGCGATTGGTTTTTACTACGACCTTTAACTTTTTTAAATCAAGGCGCCTTACTGTATCGCATTGGGAGTTTGGTGATCCCTTAACTTTATTTTTCAGTTGTTCTACAAATTTGAGAATTTAGGCTACTACTAAGGGAGGCTCGGGGGAACGATTAAAACCGCTGAAGGATGTCAGTATCATCCAATATTGTACGAATAATTTTTCGACTTTCTGAGACAATTATGTTGCGCATGGACGAGTATGGCCAAGAATCAGAAGATTATATTATTCCGTTCCTCTTGTACCTCGATCGACATGATTAACAGCAGTGGCTACGTGTCGCCAATGGCTGATTCTACTAAATCAAGTATTTGGGACATTCGATTAGAAATATAAGTCTTCCATGCTTGTGGTGATTTTTCTAACCCGGTTAGAATGAGTAACACCGCGCCACAGAGCTCAAGTGGTGGTAGACTTAGCGTTTATATAAGAGCCACTTCTGTTTTAGCTACTAGTTTAAGGCCTGTGGTCGAGTTAGTTTACGAGTATGACATTGTAGGGAGGAGTTTATGTATTATGATATTTTTATCTACGGAATTTCAGTTAAATTGTGTGCGAACTGTGAACTTTTCTCAGTCGGTTCCGTTTAGCCATAATTCTTGAATCAGGATTTTAGCTTGTTCAATAATTTATAATCTTTTTGACTGGACTTAATCTGACACAAATATTTCTTTCTATAATTGTTAATCATAGCTTTTGTTAATTCATACTGGTCTAAATAGTTTTCATAATTGGCGAAATCGAGGATTTAAAATTTTCTGGTAGATCTGAGTCAACAGTTTCTTCTCTTGCATTATAAGCCGTGTCCAAAAATAAATATTATAAAATAGTTGTATTCACCTAACACTTGCTTGTATCACCTAAAAATACTTAATTCTGTTAGATATAAGGTTATGTACTTATATATAAATAATCCGAGACAAATTGAAATCCGAATGACTATCATGAACCATACCATATACATATACCGTAATTTAATGAAATCGACGTAGACGATCGCTATTTCTAATAATATGGTGCGCAGCTTCATATTTCACGTCTAAACACGTACACATTACGGGCAAAGTTTGGCGACTCGTTAATATCGGGAAATGGCTGCAAAGATCATGCGATTTAACGACTCTAGATTATTTTTTCTGGGGGTATGTTAAATCAAAGGTTAACACCAATCAACCAGCAACGCTAGAAAAG